TTGGCTTAATTCGCAGACCTCGTCGCTTGCGCAGGGCTATTCTCAGCCGCGAGCAGATGTCCGAAATTCACCGGCCCCTTTGCGTACAGCTTCTCATAGGTCGCACAGTTCGACACTCACGTATCATTCCCGTTCACAAGGATCCTCTCTAAGCGCACAAGATTCTTCGCACAATTCGCATAGCACTTTGAATGGCAGACAGAAGGGAGATGTATTGGGATGCTTTGACGCTTATGGACAGATGGAATTACCCTTTTTCAATGGTGGTGACGCTTATGGATGGATGGATAGGATGGAAAGATATTTCACTCTCAATACTACTACAGAAAAAGATAAGGTAGAAGTCGCAGCAGAAGCTATGGAAGATAGGACGTTTGACTGGTTTCAATGGTGGGAGACTCAAACGAGAGAGAAGAGTTGGGAGGCTATGAAGGAAGCCATAACGCGGCGTTTCCAACCTACAAGTAGGCGGAAGACAGAAAGCCATGAATCCTCGCCAAGAACTTCTTTCAGTTTGCAGTCATCTGCAGCAGCTTATCTCAGTTCACAGGCGTTCCCGTCTGCTCTTCACTCGAGTCAGAATGTGATGCTATCCAGAGAAGAAATTTCTAACCCTGCACACATCTTCTCTTCCAAGCTGAAGCCAGCAGAATTTGTAATCAAGGAAACAAATCCGGAAGAAGAACTAGAGGAGCAAATTTCAGTGGCCGATGGAGCGGAATCTGTAATCAAGAAACTGAACCAGGACGACGAACGTGAGGAACAATCATCTATTGTTCAGGTTTCTATTCCTGTGCTTGTTGGACTGGTAGGAAAGGTTCCAAGTTCTTTTGCTACTCTGACTCTCGTACTAATAGAAGAAGAACACAAGGATAATAGGAAAATAAATCATTTGACAAATGAGTGCAGTGAATTCGTATTTACAAAAGTCATTCCTGGAAAAGAAAAGGATGTAGTCAGAAATTCTTTAGGAATACTTTTTGAGGATGATAGATGGGGCTGGGATAAAAATTTTGCCAATATCAAGGCTGGGACCAACTATCTTACAGGATTACCAATTGTGCAAAAAGGGTACAGGGATAAAATAGTTTATAATCATAAAGTGGATACTGTACTTGCAGCAACAGATGGGTATCTTGTGAAATTTGAAATAAAAGAGGAATCTCAACACCTATATGTGGAATCTCCAGGAGTGCATGAGCTGAATTTTCATAAATCAGCAGCTGAAGTCATTACAAGGGCAGCTGGATTTTATATGGCAGAACCTTTATATGATCATAATGATTACAATGAAGAGGCTTCGCAGTTTGGTTATCATGTAAAACATGTAGGACCTCAATTCAATTTCATGTCAGAAGCTTGGTCAAAGTGGTGAGGGGGATAGGAACACTGCAGAAAGGGGTGAAAGAAGTATTATCTTTGACAACATAATTCCAGGGAGTTTTCATCTCCAGTTTCTGCTCATGTTTGCTGTGAAAGAAGTGACGTTGAAAGGTCAAGTAATGAAGGTCATGACCAAGCAATCTGGGTTGTATTGGGAAGGGAGAGGTGCCAGAATGAAGTGGAAGTGGAAGATCATGGCTGATTCCCAATCACCCACCTTGAGGACAAGGTGGTTGTTTAGGGGGGAGTAGTGATAGGAATGGGCCTAGTATTAGAGATAATAAGTGGGCCTATTAATTACATAATAATAAGGGGCCTGTACTATAAATAGAAAGGGAGGCTAGGCAAATGAGTAGGCAGTTAGTAAAATTGGGAATAGACTTTTGGAGAGACCGGCACTCTCGAAATTGCCAGAACCCTTCTGTAAAACATTACCCTACTTCAATACAGCTTCTTGATCAATTCTTCGTGATTTCCTACTATTTTTAGTTGAATTATATCAAGGTTCTATCAAATATTTAAGTAGGGTAATGTTTTATCCTCTGATCTGGAGAACAAAACGCAAGATATCGGCGATTTGTCCATACCAGATTGTATGGTAAACCGTGATTTTGTGAGAAGGATCCAAACAACGGAAGTTAAATAAGCTCTGAGGAAGATGGGACGAAAAAGAGCAATGGGGCCAGATGGCATACCGATCGAGGCTTGGAGAAGTTTGGGAGAGAGGTGTCGAGTGGTTAACAAGTTTCTTCAACATGATTTGGAGAAACAACAAGATGCCAACGAGTTGGAGGAAGAGTACTCTTATCCCCTTATTTAAGAATAAAGGTGATGTACAAGAATGTGCCAACTATCGAGGGATTAAGCTTATGAGTCACACCATGAAACTTTAAGAGCGAGTGATGAGAACATAGAAGCATACAGGGAGGCTAAAAGACAAGCAAAGAAAGCCGTAAGGGAAGCACGAGGGAAAGTGAACAAGGAGTTGTATGAAAAGTTGGACTCTAAGGAAGGAGAACTAGATATTTATAGACTTGCTCGTCTTCGTGATCGCAGAACTCAAGATATTGCAAAAGTTAAGTGTGTGAAGGATGTTGATAAGAGGATATTAATGGACGACGGAGAGATAAAAGAGAGGTGGAGGTCATACTTTGATACACTATTGAATGGGAACAAAACGCAAGATATCGGCGATTTGTCCATACCAGATTGTATGGTAAACCGTGATTTTGTGAGAAGTTAAAGAAGCTCTGAGGAAGATGGGACGAAAAAGAGCAATGGGGCCAGATGGCATACCGATCGAGGCTTGGAGAAGTTTGGGAGAGAGGTGTCGAGTGGTTAACAAGTTTCTTCAACATGATTTGGAGAAACAACAAGATGTCAACGAGTTGGAGGAAGAGTACTCTTATCCCCTTATTTAAGAATAAAGGTGATGTACAAGAATGTGCCAACTATCGAGGGATTAAGCTTATGAGTCACACCATGAAACTTTGGGAGCGAGTGATTGAGCAAAGACTTCGAAGGACTGTGAAGATTTCAGAGAATCAATTCGGTTTTATGCCTGGTCGCTCAACGACTAAGGCCATTCACCTTCTTCGGCAACTTATGGAGAAGTGTAGAGATGCTCATAAGGATCTGCATTTGGTGTTCATTGACTTAGAAAAGGCATATGATAGGGTACCTCGAGAAGTTCTTTGGTGGGCCTTAACTAGGAAAGGCATATCACGCAAGTATATCAGCATCATCATGGATATGTATGAGGATTGTACTACAAGTGTTCGTACTAGTGTAGGGAGGACTGAAGAGTTCCCTATTACTATCGGAGTGCACCAAGGATCGGCCTTGAGCCCTTTCTTATATGCCATAGTCATGGATGAACTTACGAAGTCAATTCAAGACGATATACCGTGGTGCATGATGTTTGCCGACGATATTGTATTGATTGATGAGACGCAATCAAGTCTTAAAGCAAAGTTGGAAGTATGGCGACAAGCATTGGAGAATAAGGGTTTCAAACTAAGTCGGAGCAAGACAGAGTACATGGAGTGCAAGTTTGGTGGAGGTAGAAGTAGTGGTAATAGCGGAATTACTCTGGATGGTAAGGAGATACCAGTCAGCGATATGTTCCGTTACTTGGGCTCCATAATTCAGAAGGACGGTGAGTTAGATGGAGATGTATCCCATAGAATCAGAACAGGGTGGATGAAGTGGAAGAGTGCGTCAGGATTTCTATGCGACCGAGGTATGCCGACTAGACTGAAGGGTAAATTTTATAGGACATCAATTAGGCCTGCATTACTGTATGGCGTAGAGTGTTGGGCGGTGAAACAATGTCACATTCATAAGATGAGTGTGGCAAAGATGCGCATGCTGCGTTGGATGTGTGGGCATACTAGGAAGGACCGCGTGAGGAATGAGACAATCAGACAAAGGGTGGGAGTAGCACTTATTGAAGACAAGATGCGGGAGTCGCGCCTACGGTGGTTTGGTCATGTGCGTAGAAGACCGAGTGATGCACCTGTTAGGCGAGTTGAGATGTGTGGAGAAGAGGCAGGGAAGAGAGGGAGAGGAAGACCCAAACAGACGTGGGTTAGGGGAGTTCGAAGTGATATGCTTCTTCTGGGGTTGGAGGAGGGCATGACTTTGGAGAGAACTAAGTGGAGGGCGGGTATTCACGTGAAGGAGTGATCTTGGTAATCTTTTTCCCTCATCTTTTTTTCCTAGTTTTTTTTTATCCTTATTTATATATTTATATATAAGCATTATTTGCAGCCTTTTTATTTTATCATTTATATATATATTCATCTTTTTTTATATTATCTTTTCATAATAGCTTATCTTTTTATCTTTATTTCTTCTTTTCCTTTTGGTTGTGATATCATGTATCGATTCATGTTAGCCGACCCCAATATCTTTTGGGACTAAGGCTTGGATGTTGTTGTTGTTGTTGTTGTTCTATCAAATATTTAGGATCTTATGCTGATAAGTATATTCCTTTTCTTCTGTCCAAACAGTTGGGGCAGCAACTACTGCTCCCCAAACAACATGATAACTGTGTTAAGAACTATTGTATAAGGAGGTATTCTGCTGATCAGGTATTGAAGTAGAGCTTCCCTACCCACTTCCAGAGTTATTAGTTGTAGCATTTCGTTCACTTGAATAGGACCAAGAGCTCATTATAGAATGTTCAGTTTGGACTTTTTCATCCCCTTCCAAGTGAGATTTATAGTTATTTTCATCGCAAAAAAAAAGATTCATAGTTATTTTCGCTGAGTTTATTTTTCAGAATCATTGTATGCATATTCCCAACAGATATAATTTATTGCCAGTATTCACTTGGTGATTTTGTAAGTATGGAAGTAAGTTCTAGACTTCTAGCTTTTTCTTTTTATGAGCTTCCATTCTGAATCTGCTCCCAGCCACATCAATAGGATCAATGCTTTTGTCAGGAAAATATCTTTCAAGAATGAATCTAGACTTAAGTTGAGACTCGTATTTCTCATGCGGGCCTCGTGGTATCTGGTCAGCATACTCCTGGTTCGGTCCATTGATAATTATAGGCTGAAACTCAAGCGATGACTTTAACAGATTAGCAATGTCAAGTCCAGACCCCTTACTTCCTCTCCCATCAGTGTTCGTATCCGAACCGGTTAGAGTAGGGACCTCATCAATAAGAAGAATGATATTTCCAGTAAGATGCCCAGCTAACTTCCACTTTAGTGCAACCTGATAAGTTGAGTTTAATTTAGAGCTTGGGTCTAATCCAAACAGACTCAAAACCTTGCACGCCATTGTAGAACCGCACAACGTAACCGTGCTTTTCAAGCTTTGTTATCCATCCTTGTTTGATTGGTTTCTCAGTAGCATTAGAGTATGAGCTGATGATTCCCTGAAGCTTCTTTCCATCACTCCCCTTTTCTATTCCCTCGGTTTCCTCTATACGGATAGTCCCTGTATAGCTTTCCCCAGTATGTCAACCATCAATTTTATCAACGGCAGATTCATATTCCATGGCAATGGAGGATTGAGTGATTTGAGTCACCACAGAAGATTTCTCCTCTCGTCCCTGACCACTATCGACGAATGTATCTTCACAGATAGGTTGTCGTGGATCGCCAGACTTCTGCGACTCGGACAGCAACAGCGAACTGGAAGCTTCTCCTTCAGATTGCATAGTACCTTGAAGTGAACTGCTAGCGTATGATGAAGTCTGTGGACCTGGAGACACGGCTTGCGGAGAAGATTGCAAACCGGAAGAAGATGTTGGCCAGGAAACATGCGAACTGATAGAAGCTGTTTGCGATGACGATGCTGCTTTGCTTTCCGAATTCCGGCAGCGACGCACGGTCCTCGATCGTCCTCGCCGGCGACGTTGTTGCCGCAGCTTGGTGCGCATCTTGTCCAACCAGATCCTCATCTCCTTTGCCCAATCACTTTCTCCCCTTTCCGCTAGCTTCGCCACTTTTCCGCGCTCAACCTTTTCCGCGAGCTTCTCTACCTTTCCGCGGGAAGCATCCTGATCGGATCTTCGGTGCTGCCTGCGCGGTTCCTTTCCGCCTTGCGTTGACAGGCGCTTTTCAATGTTCGCGCGCAAACTAGATGCAGCCACCTTTTGTTATCCATGTTCGCGTTTCTCCACCTTCTGTTTCCTGCGCTGCACCATTTGTTTATCGCGTGAATGTAGATCGGAGATTCCCTGGGTCGACTGCTTTGATACTATTGATAGGAACCAGAATCGAAAGAGAGAAATTGATGTGTATTAAGAACGTAAATGAAGAAACTGAAACGACACAATACAATTGAGACACTTCGAGTAGTCTCAGCACTCCCAAGTCCAGACTAATTTCTGTCTACCTCCCTTATTCCCTCCTTCACACTCTTCTAGTAATTATATTCTAATGGGCCGACCCATATTTTCTGACATGGCCCAGAATCCTAATTTATACAATACTACACTTATTTAATATCATTCTATTACTATTATTATAATAATAATTATCTTTAGCCTAGGATCCTATCATCTTTTTTGGTTCTCTTTTTTCTAGCTGCTTTAATGACTTGCCCTGTTTCGGTTTGTTGCTTGGCTTCAGTTTAAGTTGTTTGTTTGACCACTATATCAACCTTTCCAATAAGAGGCTGGAGTATTTCATTCCATTCATCTTTAGAGAAATTAGAGGTATCTTCAGGTTCACCTCCTTCTGAGTTATTTCCATCTTCAATTAAGATGATTATTGGCTTTCCAATTTTTTTTATTAAATCATCTCTGTGCTTCAATTTCTGCAGATCAGCTGAATGGTGAATGTTTTCTATAAGATATCTCGCTTCAGAATCTAAAGCATCCTTTTCCTGTCCAGATGTTTAAGGAATATTAGAGTTATCATCACAAAGGATAATGTCTTAGTCCTTCTGATCCTTTGAAACTTCAATATTTTGAAATGGCTGCTTTATATTTTTATTAGAGTCCACAGATATCTCTGTTGATCTCTTTTTGTTTTTGACAATCCACTGCATATCACCATGGATTTTTTCAGAATCCTGTGCTTGACTTTTTTTACATGAGGAATGGCCAATTTTGTGGCACTCTTTGCAGTGTTTTGGCATATCCTCATAAGTAACTTGCTGAGCAAAACCTTCTTCTCCGTTTTGCAGCCATATCTTCTGTGGATGATCTTTGGTGAGATCAAGTTCCACGCAAACTCTAGCTATCGATGGCCTGGACGGATTAGTTGTTGCAGCATCAGATTTCAATGGCTTGCCTATCAGATTAGCAATAGAAAATAGGGCTCGCATATCAAACAAATGTATAGGTAGTCCTTCAAAACAATCCAAACAGGCACTATAGGTGATTCCACATCTGGACGAGATTGTGGAGTCCATTTATTGATTTTCATAGACCAGGAGCTGTGTAACCAACATCTTTGGAAGTCTTCTTCCATCTAAAACCAAATTAGGACGTATTTAGTTGTGGTACTCCGATGGTTGTTTGATGGCATACCTTTAAATCCGGATGGTTGTTTGATTTGTATCTCTTCTCTGCATCTTGTGAGCACAGAAGCAAAGGAACGGACGATCCAGGGGCATAGCTAGGGGGGCAGCCTAGGCTCTGGCCCACCCCAAATTTCAAAAATGCCTATATTTTTAGGGTAAAAAATTATGTGTAATTTTTTTTTCAAAAATATTCTTTGTACCGGCCCAGTCCATCCCAGTGCCCTCGCTCCGCCCCTAGGACGATAGGCGACCCCCCTATCAGGGTTTTACGCAGTTGCGTCGCCGCGAGTGGTGGATCGGACATCTTCTCCAGTTATCACCAATATATTCACCAGAGCTCTCAACTCCGAGACTTCCCCTCCACCACTTTTAACTTCATTTGTTGCTTAACTTGTCTTATATTCACAAGCATCATATGTTGAGTGACAACACTCTTACCTGGGATAACCTTACAATCAGTATAGCTAGTTCTCCAAGTAGTTCGTACTGAGAAGTAGTTAATTTGGGTACTATTAGCTCCACTTCTATAGGTCACAAGGTGAGTGTCTGTTTTCTTGAACCAAGTGCTCATCATAGCCAACTCATACGTCGAGGCAAAATCCAAGATGTTCTTTCCCGCTTCTTTTCTAGTGTCAAAACCATGTCCGCCATGAATAATCTCAAAACCATCACGACTCGAGCCCCACATGCCCATTGAGGTCGCATTCTATAACCGACTTCTCTCCTTTGGCAATTGGCACTCACCACACCACTTCCTCAAGATCTTCCTAGAACTGTTGAGTTGTAGATGCTTCCAATCCCACTTGTAGTGCATAGGCACTTACCACGGACATGATCTAACCGTCGACCGCTGATTTAATGCTCATGATGAGGTTGTTCTTCCTAAACACTTCCACCACATCCTCAACTTAGTCACGCGCCACAATAATATTTACTCCGTTTTTTGTCTTCTCTCTCCGTGAGTACCACAACTTCAAATCTTTGGTATTAATCTGACGTGCTTTCTCTCCAACTCACTCAGTTTCTTGTACACACACGATGATGATATTCCTTCTGCTCATAACTTTGACTACCTCAGAAGATCTTCCTACAAGAGACCCAACATTCCATGTCCCAATAGCAATCTAGCATTCCACCTTTTGTTCTTAACCTCACCTCAAACCCCACCATGCCCTTGCATATTTGACATTATCCCACAACCTTAGCATTGGGATGACGCGCTGCTTTCAGACGGTGACCTAGCAATGTTAGCATTCTTATCACCACACTCAAGCCTATGAAATGTAGTGTGCCCTTGCAAATTTGACACCACCCAGGATGGAGGGAGGACGCGTCGCTTACGGACGACGACCTAGCTGTAGCGATATTCATATTTTGATTCATAACATGTGACGTGACTAAGTGATATTGTTGGTTGTCACACACCCACAACAGCACCTTCATCCTTTATCTTGGATTAGGACATGCAAGATGCCAAAAAAACACTAAAAGAAAACAAAACACTTCGATGTGGCACTTATATTATTTAATTATTATTATTACAAAGCAGCGCATTATTGCCAAGCTCTCATCAGAAGCCAAATATTGTGCTCTATCCACTGTGGCATCTAAAATTATTTGGATAGAATCACTTCTTCACCAGCTACGGCACCCTCGACATACTTTGCCGACTCTTCTTTGTGATAACAAGGGTGCTACTACATCTTCCACTAATCCTGTCTTCCATTCCAGAAGAAACATGTTGCTATTGACTTCCACTTTGTTCATATCATGGTGCTGTAGAGATATTCATATTTTGATTCATATCATGTGACGTGACTAAGTGATATTGTTGGTTGTCACACACCCACAACAGCACCTTCATCCTTTATCTTGGATTAGGACATGCAAGATGCCAAAAAAACACTAAAAGAAAACAAAACACTTCGATGTGGCACTTATATTGTTTAATTATTATTATTATTACAAAGCAGCGCATTATTGCCAAGCTCTCATCAGAAGCCGAATATTATGCTCTATCCACTGTGGCATCTAAAATTATTTGGATAGAATCACTTCTTCACCAGCTACGGCACCCTCGACATACTTTGCCGACTCTTCTTTGTGATAACAAGAGTGCTACTACATCTTCCACTAATCTTGTCTTCCATTCCAGAAGAAACATGTTGCTATTGACTTCCGCTTTGTTCACCGGTGCGCTCAACATGGACTTCTCTGTGTTCATCACACCCACCTCATGCTCAACTAGCTGACACTCTCACCAAACCGCTTCCGCGACAACGTTTTGCTATTCTCAAAACCAAGCTCAGGATCTAGAAGGCGATCAAATATCGAGCTTGTGGGGTCGTCTAGAAGACAAATAAATCATCAGTTATTATATTCATATTATTGCAGTCTTGCAGATTTCTATTACAACTGTTATAATATATTGTATTAATTGTAATAATTGTAATTAGTAAATAGATTATCTTATAGACTCTCCTCCTGGTTGTATAAATTGGACTTCAAGATTAATAATTCAATCAAGCATTTTCAACCTAAAATCATTTATCTATCTAAAGTTCATTAAAGCTTACTCTAGTACTGGACGACTAAGACTCTTGAGACTAGTATAAACCTAGGTGATCTATTCTTTAATAATTTGATCAATAATTTCAGAGTGACTCTTTGGAGCTTTGATTAGGTGGGACGCCACTTTCTCTTCCCTATAACGGAAAGTTTTTCATCTATATTGATTAAAATCTCCTTTTCATGTCACAAACCCGCACGCAAAACAGTTCTACATCTTAGTGGTGTTATTGTTAATAAATTATGTAACCTACTGAATGCTAAAATTCATACTCTCGGTCCCACTATTCTTATCACAAACTCTATTTTCGGATGTGCATTAATGGATAGAGAGTATGACCTCAGTACATATATTTTCGTATTCAAGCATTCTTCCATCGTGTAATGTGACAAGATATACACGGATTGACTTAGAAGTATAGTTTAGGTCTGTCATCATGTCATCAAGATCCAATTCATGTGTCTAAAACTAATTTCATAATACGCTGAACTATAGAAAACACCAGCATATAAGAACAAAATTACAGAGCCAAATCTGAAAATCCCAATGACAGAATGAGCACAGACCTGTCCAGCTTTGATGAAAGAAGGCCCCAAGTAACACAAGAGCTGCCTTAACTGCACAGCCCGAAGAGGAACAACCTCTTGATCACGACCCACGGCATAATCATACAGCAAGGTCGTCCAATATAGCCCCAAACTCCACACTATCTCTACACCTCTACCAATCAAGGACAATATTGCCCCCTTTGACTCCAACACCTTATTTCTCACCTAATTAACCAAAAAACACTGTAAAAATTAGTAATCCCACATATAATTAAAACTTAATTGAAGAAAAAAATACTGAAGTAACGAAGATAAATAAATGAATCAGTAAAACTGCATAGGAATTAACTAGAAGTTTTACACACTGATTCAGGGGAATATTTACGAAAGGGGATGCAAACTCCTCGCTCGAAGTCGAGCTGCTCGAGAGAACTGTTGGTTTTGAGTGCGTAGATTCTCGATGAAGGGAAGCCCACCTTCGGTGGCTTAAGGGGATAAAAACGCTTCTCGCTGCTTCTCTTGCACTGAGTTTCAAAGGGAATTAATGACGAAGAGGACGAGTAGAAACAACTCGGACGGCAAATCAGCATTTTCATTTCAACTGTCCTTTTTCAGTTTTTCTTCGAATTGGGAATAAATAAATCAGAGGAGGATAAGAGACGGGTGGGGGAAGCGGGAATGATCGATGGAGAGATGGCTATATGGGTAAGGTGCATAAATGACTGTTTGAACTATTATTACTTTTTGGTTATCCAACTATTAAATTTCCAATCCTTTATCTATTTCATCTGTACTCAGTGTTAATCGAGTGCTTCTGTTAGATTTGTCGTTAATTTTGATGTAAGCTAATTAATTTATTAAGATTTCATAATTTTAAACATTTTTGAACAACACAATCATTTTTAAAATTTAAATAGTTAATCTAGTTTTTTTTAAATATGAATATATGTACGCATACACATATAAAAATTATAAATAAATAATATAAAATCAAATGTATGGCCTAAATAATATGTAGTATATAAGAGAGAATCAAATAATCAATTATATACATATGAGTAGATAAAATTAAATAAAAAAACGAGGGTGATTGTTATTATTATTAATTATATTAAAAAAAATTAAAACTAAGTATGAGTGTATGATTAAAACTCATCCACTTTCTTGATACATGGCCTCATTAGTTCCTCCCCTTCCCAAAAAAACATTTAAATTTGTAATATTTATTAAAATAAATAAATAAATAAATTTTATGAACTAATTTTCCCTTACATTTTTTTACCAGAATATACTCTTAGAAATATGTATATGTAAAAAAACTAGATTGGCTACTTAAATTTACCAGAATATACTCTTAAAATCATGAGAATAAATTAATTGGCTTCCGTCAAAGTTAAAAAAGTTAGTTGGCCTGGGGGGAGAGTTAGTTGGCCTGGGGGAAGAAGTTCACTGTGACGTCTGCTCCTCGCACCAGGGTCCTTTCAGCATGTCCCGGCGTCTCGTCGTCCAGGGCTTCTTCTGGCCGACGATGGCACGGGACTGCGCTGACCTAGCCAGGAAGTGCACCACATGCCAGGTACTCCAGAAGGCCCCTGGTCGGCCAGCTGTCAACTATGCCCCTGTCAGCACCGCAATTCCATTCTCCAGATGGGGGATTGACCTGGTCGGCCCCCTGCCCAGAGCCGCCGGGAATAACCGCTACATCATCGTCGCCGTCGACTACTTCACCAAGTGGGTCGAGGCGGAACCCTTGGCCAGCATCACGGGGGCCAGATGCCAAAGGTTTGTTTACAAAAACATCATCACACGCTTTGGCGTCCCCCAGGAGATCATATCAGACAACGGCACCCAGTTCGAGGCAGCCCCTTTCCAAGAGCTCCTCCGGGAGTTTGAAGTAAAGCATCGTTTCTCCTCCGTCGCCTACCCTCAGGGCAACGGGCAGGTCGAGAACTCCAACAGAACAATCATGGAAGGGTTGAAGAAGAACCTCCAGGCCGCAGGAGGTAGTTGGGTCAACGAGCTCCCCAACATCCTGTGGTGCTACAGGACCACGCCGAGGAGGAGGACAGGTGAAACGCCTTTCGCCCTGTGCTACGGCTTTGAAGCAAAGGCGCCCACGGAAGTTGCCATCCCCAGCCGGCGGGTGGAACAATATGAGCCTGACACCAACGAAGAGAATATGAAGATTGACCTACACCTGGTTGATGAGAGGCGTGAGCAAGCTTACGTCCGCGCAGAGAACTACCGGCGTCAAGTAAAATCATACTATGACGCCAAGGTACGTTCCCGGGAATTTCAGGTGGGGGACTACGTCCTCCGCCGAAGGGAAGCAAGCCAGCCGACAGAGGGCGGCAAGCTAGCATTGAAGTACGAAGGGCCCTACATCGTCAGTGCCGTGGTCAAACCCGGCACCTACAAGCTTAAACGCCCGAATGGGTCCAATGTACCACGAACATGGAATGTACATCATCTGGTGAAGTTTTATCAGTAATCCGAAGGAGGTGTAGACGGCGAAACCCTCACCCCTCAACGGGTTACTGATTGAACGCCGCCCTCGGCCTCGAGCCACTTATGAATAAAATCATGTTCTGATTTTCTCTGGAATTTAAAGTAAAACATTAGCAGGTGCCCTCGTCGGCCACCTTAGAGCGAAAGGCTCAGGTCTGGCCGACATGGCCCATTGCATTTGCAGCCTACGAGCGATAAGCTCAGGCACTCCATTGTATTTTGTATCAGCGAAGGGCTCAGGCTTAGCTGAGAGAGCACATCGTCCTGGCCCCGTAAGCCTAGAAGTGAAACGCTCAGGTATGGCCGACGATGTCCCCAGGACGAGGGGCCCGCAAACGGCCCACGTCTTGAAACGGGAAGCTCACCGCGTCGTCCACGCGCCAGATCGCAGAACGACAGGCCTGAGATCATGGCCGAGGTGACAAAATCCCAAAACTCAGGGATGGGCAACGACAGCCGTTGGAAACCAACCGAAAGTCTAGCCCGCGTCATAAATAGGCGACGGGACCCGCCCTGAGACCACGGACGTTATAAACGAAGTCCGAACCGGCCGAAGGACGAGCACACCCTTCGGCCGAAGCCTGAAAGAAGGATACCCCCGAAACAAAATATATATATATATATATATATGAGGGAAAAAGAGGGAAGCCGACGACCGCGCACACTTGTCGGCCTCGAGCAAAGAAAAAATAAAATCCCCACAAATTCAGGCCCATTTTGGCCAAGTACATATCAGTTAAACACAAGTGTAGTACCACTGACAGGCAACATGGACGACACGTCCACACACTACAACGGAACAATCAAGGCCGATACACACGCCTTTAAAACCCTAACCACATCGGTTGGGTGACACGCGAGAGGTGACCTTCATCGGCCATAGTCCTTTGAGGCACCAACGTTTGGTATGAAACAAAGCATCGCAATCCTGATGATGACCAGGACGAAGCGGGCACTCATCAAGTAATCAAGAAACAACCTCTACTTGCCACAGCACCTTGGATGGCCGACGCAGGCACTGGAACCATAGCTAGCCGACGAATACAGGACCATCTCCTGGGACAAGCTATTCCTTATCCAGCACCCTCATCGGCCACAAGCCAGACCTTGGCCGGCAGTGGCACCGCGAAGAAGTGAATGCCTAACATTTATACTTAGGAAATTATCTAAGTACTCAAATGGAGGGATTCTAGCCGAAGCGGGTATCAGTATACCACAAAGCCGTTAGCTACCTACACCTTCACATGTGTACTTGTGAAAAATTCAAAGTCCACGAGACTATGGTGAAGGTGCCCTTATCGGCCAGAACACAGGGATACAAGCCGACAACGGCCATGGCCAAAACACCTAGGATGAATCCAAGGCCAGGACGATAAGGACGCCAACGCTTGGACGGAACGGACACTACGGTCAAGGCCGAAAGGAAAGCACCTAAGTGGATCCCAAATGAATAAACTTCATTACAATTGATAAACTTCATTACAATTGATAAACTTCATTCAATTGATAAACTTCATTACAATTGGGGGGCACTACGGCCGTGACACCACTTGGCAAAATATTGAAACGCTAATTACAAATGAATAATCTATCAAGCTTCGGGGGCATCACCGTCTGCGGCTGTCTCATCGGCCTCATCAGCTCCCTCTTCGTCCTCAGCTTCTTGGCCGGCAGCGGCGCTGGTGGCATCATCTAAAAAGTCAAATTCAGTGTAGTCCGGCTCGCCGAGGCCGGAGCTTTCTACGGGGGACTCCCGTTCCGACAGCGGAAGCTTGGCCTGCTCTTCGGGATCCTTCATCAGCTTTAGCAGCTTCAGGTTCCGCCTAGCCCATCCAGACGTGTAATTCATAGCCTTCAACGCCCGGGATAGCCGCCGACACAGGAGCCTTTGCATGCGCTCCTGGCCCAGGTTGTAATAAACGGACATCTCCCGGCTGAAATACTCCCGGCCGACAGGGGAATTCATCCCCCAATTCTCAAGCCTGGCGGCCACCACTTCGTAGCACCAGGGGAGCCTCTCATCGGCCTTCCACCCCTCGGCCAAGAACTTCTCGACGGCCTCATCGGCAGCCTTCACGACGGCGGCCTCGGCCTCAGCCTTCGCCTTGGCGGCCTCCTCGCTCCGGCGCTTCTCGGCCTCAAGCGCCCTGTGGGACTCCGCGAGCTCCCTTCTGCTCTCTTCGAGTTTGACCAGGGCATCGTCCCTGGCCGCGACGGCTTCATCAGCTTTGGCCTGCAGCGCCTTGGCATCCTCCCGGAGCCGGTCAAGGCAAGCTACCGCCTCGTCGGCCGAGGCAGCCTTCTGCTCCAGCGCTTGCAGGCGGGCTATCTCCCAGTACTGCCTCTTATGGCTTTCCATAAGCATGAAGGCACTCTGCAGAAGAAAATCAAAGGTCAGGCAAAAAACTCTACATAGACGAAGAGAGACAAAAATATAAGGACAATCACTTACTTGGACGAGGAGATCCATGCCGCCCTCATAAATCTTCGGGTCCTCGAGCTTCTTCAAATGAGCCCGATCTTTGGCCGGCATGGCCTTGGCCAGGACGACGTGGCCGGGGACGAGCTCATTAAACACGCCCCCGCCGACGGGGTACTCTATCACTTTCTGATAGGTGGCACCGGCAATCTCCTTGCCGGCCCTCTGCGTCCGTGGTTCCTGGTGCGGCATCATCAGCAACAGTAAGGTCCACGACGGGACCACCATCGCCCACGCTGGGGATAGTAAGCGTACCGGCCTCACTGGCCGGAGAAGGGGAAGGAGCCCTCTTCGTCTTCTTAGAGACGCTCACGCCGGCCTCGATCAACTTTTTCTGGCCGTCAGTGGCCGGTCTCTTTTTCTTGGACGAGGCAAGCTTTGGGGCCGCGTCAGCAGTAGCCCCGCTCCCACCAGCAGCGGCACGTCGGGCCGCCTCGGCCGCCTTAGCAGCCAGCTCTTCGGCTGCCTTGGCCTTAGCAACGGCCATTATGGAACGCCGGTCCATGACAAAGTCTACAAAGGAAAAACAAACAGATTAGTAAGGCAAAGGACAAAACGTAAAGACAGAAAGCCGAAGAAAAATTACCATCGGCCTCAGCAGGAATGCCCAAATCCGGGCCATCGGCCTCCTCAAAGGTGGTGGTCATCCTCGGCCAGAGTTGGAGGTCATCCTCCTTATCTCCATACAAGTGATATCTGAAGAAGCCGAGG